CTCTGCCCTGGGTATTGCGTAGGACAGGGATAGACGAGCTGCGGCCAGAGCCTGCAGCTTGCTTCAGGAGTGACCACCATTGCTTGTTTCGCATTGATCCATGTTTGAGCCGATCTCGGATGCGGGCAGATTCTGCCTGCTTTGCGAAACGAAGGCAATTGGCAGAGGCTCGGACTTTGGCATTGTAGTCAATGAGTTGCTGGTGGCAGGTGGGGTGTCTCCTGAGACGGTTCCATGCATTCTTCTTTGCCTGGGTAGCGGCTGAGCATTCCGGCGTCCACCAGGATGGATCTGTTGGTTTCGTCGAAAGTTCTTTGTGTGGGATGAAGCGATTCATGCCTTCCATGACAGCAGCGGTTACTGATCTGCAGGACGCCTCGGGGTCTTCTGATATATCCCAGTTTGCTGTTGAGTAGAAGTGCCGAAGCCGGCCCCAGTCTGCCTGAGCATACCTCCAAACGCGCCGTTTAGTCGGTGGTTCGCGGAGTGGGGTGGCATCAAAAGTGGCCACAACGGTGGCATGGTCTGATGCTCCAATAAGGTCCAGTATATTTACCATCACTGAGGTCTCCGAGAAGTACTTGAGTGTGAAGTCCAGGGTGTTCTCACCACGTGTTGGTTGAGTAACGTGCTGGTGGAGCCCGTGAAACGCAGAGAGTTTTTCCATGTATTCACCAGCTGGTGTAGTCTTCGTGCTGCATATCCAGCTTTCATTATGAACATTTAAATCTCCGGCTATCACAACGCTGTTCCCGAGGGATTGAGCTTGATCCATGACTGAGTCAAGATACTCAAGCAGAGAAAGATCTTGTTCAGGGCACGACCCGGGTCGGTACATTGCACATGCAACTACTTTCTGGCCATTGACCAGGTGCAGGCAAAGCCAGATGACCTCATGGCCATGGTAGTTGATGTCACTCAGATGGTCAAAGGAGAGGGATTCCCGGACCCAGACTGCAACTCCGCCACCTTGAGCAGATCGGTCAAGTCGGAGGGGTGGGTGGAAGCCCGGCATGGAGGAGTCAGATAGTGAGGCTTTCTTCGGGGTGAATTTAGTCTCTGTTACGATGGCGATGTCAGATCTGCTCCGTTCAACAGCATGCTGGAAGGCTCCAAACTTTGACAGCAGCCCAAAAGCATTTGTCAGCAGGAGCTTCATTACCGGGTATGTCCTTGCGCAGCTGGTTTTCATTGGTGTTTGTGTGGCTGAATCGCTCCAGCTGAGGCAGCCTCTTCCTCACTGTCCCTATCGCCTCTGCTGCCCACATTCCCGGCGCCAGATGAGCTGTCACACTGCGGCCGTTTGTGGTGTCACCAGGCTCGAGCGTAAAGCGGTCGTGGCCAGAAGTTCGCAGCAGTGACGGAGACTTTCCCGTCTTCCGTGGACCTTGACGGATTTGGCCACGGCCACAGATCGCTGCTGAGTGAACTCTGTCACTCGCTCCTCTGTGCAATATGCAAATTATGTTTTGTCTTCAAACCAGGCTTGTATTCAAAACAGGCTTCCTAACGAGACAGGCTTTAATTAGTGTGCTGGCGTTCTGCAGTGTCTGCTTTGTGCTGACCAGCAAGTGAAATCCAGGCACTCCGTACAATCCCGTGCAGCTAGCTGCCCAGCGAGGAAAGTCTCGAGTGGGGGCCTCTCGATCTGCTCCCTCATTCGCCTGGCATTCAGTAGCATGTCATCGCCAAGGACTTCAATTCAAAACAGTTTTCACACGGCGCTTCAAGCCTTTTTCTTCGTGAACTTGCTGCGAACGCATGAGCTCTGCTACACATGTTCCCTTTGCGTGAGGCCCAGAAACAGCTAGTATCTCCGTACTTCGATAAGATGGATCGACGTCGTCCAGGTTCTCCTCACTATCGCCATCACGGCTCTAACCAGACACGATTTCTTCACCATATTCCGCAGCAGCAGCAGCTAGCGCAGAAATTTCGCCGTCCCTGAGTGCAGGAGAGATTGAATCGGGTTTGATCAGCTCAAAACCTCTTCGTCGTGACTAGAAGAGTAGCAGGAAATATTCTACCGGAACCCCTTTGACTTCCCTGACTGCTGAAACCCTTCCTGCCATGACTGCTACTTCTTCACACAATCGATATTCTCTTTGGTTCCACTTCACTGCACTCGCGCAGCCACACAACCTTTTTGCAAAACATAATTTTTTTCTGCTAAAAATTATTTCCACCCTTAACCTCTTTTTCGCAGAAGTTGGGCCATATGACGATAGTGTAGATTTAATAATAATACAAGAAAGACGAAGCAAACTCTAAGAGCACCAAAGAAAAACTGTACCATGAACAAGAAAGTCACCAAGACAAGGCTACCTCTTGCCCAGAGGAACAGTCCCGAAAAGGTGCTAGGAAACCAGAAAAGGATACAAGAAAATAAACAAGTGCAAAATTCCATACTGCACCGTACGCGTATATGGTGCGTGAGAACCCCGCACGGGATCAGCGGAAATGTTTGCAGAGAGGTCCAGGACATGCATTGCCAAAAAGAGAAGTGTGAAGAGGTCAAAGTACAAGTGCGATTCCAGTGCAAAACAGCAGATCAAAGAAAACTATCACACGCAAGTCACGCTACACGTATGCATGCGTACCACCACCAGATCCGCGGAGCTAGCGCTAGCAACAATCGCGCGTGATCACATGATCAATGATGACATAATTCAAAAATGGCGCTCCTGCGAATGCACACTTCGGCAGCTGGCACATGGCAAGAAAGAACGAAAGTAATTCAAAAACAGTTCGAACACAACGAAGAAATAAGTTTGAGAGAACAATAAATTTATCAAGTAGAACAATATATGAATCTGCCAGGGGGTGCTTGCACCCAGCACTGGGTGACAGTAAGCGCTGACAGACAAAAGAGAAAGAACTAACGGAAAAAGAGAAATACTACAGCGCTGCGGAACGAAGATCAAACGGCAATTCAGTAAATCGTAACATTCAATTACACTCAACCTGTCACAATCAATACGCTTGCCACTCAAATACTACTCTGACACTGCTCTGAGCACGCAGCGCGGACATGGGACATGGATTTACCACAGAAGTCTGCAGTTTCACAGCAGCAGTCAGCAGATATTGATATGCAGATTGCGTGGTGACCATTTGTCCACGATTAGAATGAACCCAAATGACCCACCAACCAATACACTCGAGAAAAAGACTGCCAAACGGTTCAGTCAGGATTGTATCATGTGGTTTTTAAAAGGCCCTTGGTGTGCGATTTTTAAGATATCAAGAATTCTCGATTACTCAAAATTCGATCGGAGAAAATCATAGTATTCAAACTCGGGATCTCAGTGCCAACTTTCACCCCTACTAGTAACAATCAGATCATCACAACAGTTATAAAAGCGGAGGTGTGTACAAATGCTACCAACCGATGCAGGCGTAGAACCTAACTTGGCATCAACCTTGCATCGTGGCCTGGGAAAGACAAAATGTGGGCCATCAGTTCCAGGCAAGCATATTCTACTGACCAATTTCTTGCCTGGCAGTGAGACATGTATTGGGGTTTTCAACCTTAACCTGGCAAACAGTTTGTCAATTGACTTATCAGAGTAGTGTGTATGTACATGAGAATAACTCATATCGTCGTCCTTTTCGTACTCCACAAATGTATTGCCCAACTCACTATGAAGTCTTCATAGTGAGTTTGGCACTACATTTGTGGAGTACGAAAAGGACGACGGCATATTCTCCAGAGACAACGATGGACAACAGGAACAGTTAGATGGGACAATATTTATTTGGGAGACGAAGAGACAGAGACCAAGACGAACGAAACGACTACATTGTGGCAGAGAGAGACAAGAGCTAGAGATCAAGTGTGAACGGCAAGATAAAGGGCCTGGGTCGGTATGGAGAATATGGGCGCGCAAGTAGCTACCCAGGCCAACAGAAAAAAAGGTGAGAAAAGGAGACAAAAGGTGAGTACGACGTAGTATGGGGTGCATGCAGGCCTGCCTGGAAAAGGTTGTACGGGAGGAGGTACCTAACATACCTCCCCTGCGCAAAGAAAAGAACCCCGACCTCGCGGGAAATAATACGACGACGAGAAAAATAGAAAAAAATGGCTGAGGAAGTAGAGAAAAAAAGCACACACACACACACACACACACACACACACACACACACAGCACCCACACACACACACACACACACACACACACACACACACACACAACACACGGGTGTCACAAAAATGTTATACTAATTATATACTACAGTTATGATGTTCCTGTACTCTAAAGTATTTACAAATCACTCATGGTAGCGTAGACATTGCCAACGACGGGCCAAATACCCCTCCACAAAAAAATTGGCAAACATAAAAAACTAAAAGCAAAGAACATTGCCTTCTGATTCGCATAGCTATACAGCATAGTTACTCTTCTGCCAATTAATGCGACATGAATAAAGGAGCGTGGCTCACCATCGGACGCCTAATATTGACGAAGGACACCCGCGCGCGCACTCACACTACAAAAATTGAAAAATAAATTAAACCGAAAATAAATTTGACGACGATGGACAGATGAAAAGAAAGAGAGAAATGAAGAAAATAGCTGACCTGCATGACTTGGACGAGACGAGATTGACATTGAAGAGACCAGGTTGACATGGACGAGACCAGGTTGACATAGGCGAGACGAGTTTTACTGAGGACGAGACGAATGGCGGTTGAGGACGACTGTGCATGGGATCTCATGCTCTACCGACTGAGATATCCGGAAGAGAGAGACAAGAGCTAGAGATCAAGTGTGAACGCGAAGGTAAAGGGCCTGGGTAGCTATGACAAATATAGGCGCACAAGTAGCTACCCAGGCCAACGGAACAAAAGGTGACTGCGACGTAGTATGGGGTGCATGCAGACGAGCTTGGAAAAGGTTGTACGGGAGAAGGTGCCTAACACATTTATATCCAATATAGATACTTTTCTGATGGATAACGCACAGGAATGTCTTGTCATGTGTGTTACCTGTACACAGACCGGTGATCTTCCTGTTCATGACTCTGCCAGGAATGGACATCTGGAAGTAGTCAAGTATCTACTAGACCTCCAACCCGACACGATCTCTGTAAAGTGCAATGTAAGTTGAGCAATCTCTATCCTTGATTCTCCTTAAGAATTTTTTTCCAGAACATGGTTTGAGCAATATATTCGATCACAACAAGTAGCATCTAGTCACTCGCGCCAGGCCAGAGCAACAGAACTTAACCTTACGGATTCCACCATCTGCCAGTAGAGCAGACCATGGCACACCATTCACTCTTGGGTCCATACAATGGCCGTCCCTACATTCTAAAGTGGCGTAAATATATTTCCTGGTGTATGTGTGTTTGTGTGTGTGTGTTTGGGGGGGGGGGGGGTGCGTGCGTGAGTGCGCGTGTGCATACAGCAAGGATAGGCAACCGTCTTAGCTGTTCTATGCTGATGTCCTTAGCGTTGTGCAGACCACGTGTGCATTGGTGGTCGATTCTCATGGCTTCACAGGTTGTATGGATTAGCCAGTTATCTGGCACTAGTCTTGATCTGTCTCATTCAGATCTTGTCCGCTATCGTTGCTATAAGAGAAAATCTGTGGGTGCACCTCCAGTACATTTCGCAGATTTGCGTGCTTCTCTTGTAACGGGCGTATACATGGTACACGGTGTGTATGCGTGTACATGTGTGTGTGTGTGTGTGTGTGTGTGTGTGTGTGTGTGTGTGTGTAGCGGGGGGGGGGTGTATGTGCATGTTTGTGTGTACATGTATAATTATATTAGGGCTGAAACGATTATACTTGGTCCGCGTCAGCAATATTGTCGCTTATCTTTCAGCTTTGTTATTATGTGGCCAATGCTCACTTGGCAGCCCATTTCATCCCAATTTTGGTTAGTAGGTTAGTTTACTAGTATCTGAAAGGTCTAGCTAGATTTCGAGAGTGACAGGTTCGTGATTCTGATTGGTACAGCGCCGCATCAATAATTATAGATTATCTTGTCACACTGGGCAGGCAAGAGCAGCTCGTCGCACAAGAAAGTAATCGGCTACTCGGAATCAGTTCCATTTGCAAAAAGGCCGAGATCACTCACCTCAGAGATCGCTCGCCAAGCTGACATCGCAGTTCCCTCGCCTCCAGTGCAACACTCGGAGTATCCAGCGAATCGTGGAGATTTGCAAGTACTGTACGAGTCATCGTCGTTCAAAATAAATCTTGCAAAGAACGGCGACTGATCTGAACCACACAGGCAGTCGTGCTGCCGACGCGTAGTCCTATAGAGAAGGCGATCGTCACGGTCGACTTCCCTTTAGAAAATAGTCAGGCAGCGGAGAGGAAGAGAGATGAGCTTGCGAAAAAAAATATTTGTCACCAGCGCCGGGAGCAGCGACAAGGAGGACCAATAACGTATGAACCCTTCCTTGGACAATAAATTCCACTTGGCCAGTTGTCATTCTGTACTTTACCTTCCTTCATACCAAGTTTTATCGTCTCAAGTGCACTTGTTGTCCAAAGTCAAAGTTCAAATTGGACGATGTTTTACCGATACTTGTAGTTTTACTCTCTCTCACGAACTGTATTCCTATCTGTAATTGAAGACTTGTTTTCTTCTGGTTAGTGTGCCATGGTAGAGGATAGACTAATGCACAGCCAGTAATCCCCTTACAGCGTATGGTGCCGAAACCCAGGACCAGTGGAATCCGGTTTGGATCCGCCAAGCCTGATGTTGTCGCGTCTGCTAGCGATGCGCACCCGTCGCCTCATGTCAGCGTGAAGCATGATGGGCATGACGTAATTCTCCAGTCGAAGGATGGCGAAGTGCGCTGGAAAGCGGAGAAAAGGGAGTGGGAGCTTTCCTGGCAGTGAAAATATGGTGTTGCCCCAGCGGCTATGCTTTGATCACAATGCTACCTCCCACACGTCAGCTCAAGCACAGCAGGATCTTCTCGATAGCGGAGTACCCAACATCCTGTTTCAACCTCCCGGACATGAATCCAATTGAGAATCTGTGGGCTCTTCTCAAGAAGAGAATAATTCCACCTCGCTGCGAGAATTCTGACCAGCTTGTGCAGGCACTGCACCTGGAGTGGGACTCGTTGGCTCCTTACACGGTTTCCCCATGCGTGGAGTCACTGCCACGTCGTGTTGAAGCCCTAATCGAAGCAAACGGTGGCCACACGAAATATTGAAGCCCTTCTACTCTGTGTCTGAAATAAACTGTTTCGAAACGATCTCCGTCTTCTTTACTTGTCCTCAACTGAAATGAATGTTACCAAGAGTATATAACCCCCCAAGAGTGTGCAACTCTTGATACCCTTTCTATGGGGTACGCCGACGGCGAAAACTCACATCACGTTATGCAGTGTCTCAGTGGTACGTTTCCAGCCCGTTTTTAGCGAGCAGTGGAGTAATAAAAAAGCACTCTCTGACAGAAACTCACTACGCGTATGCAAATCCCCAGCATGACCATGGCAGATATTCGGATTTCGCACACGCTATCCTTCGTTTGCATGTAGTACGAAGATATCTGAGACACGTGATGTGAGTTTTCGCTGTCGGAGACCACATATGCAGAGGTGCACACTCTTGGGGGGTTATAATCTTGATGTTACTCTTCTCTTTGTTTGGCGCGTTTTTTTACACTTTGGTGTAAGCATGCATGCGTATGAGTACAGCACATGCACAGTTCATGTGGCACACTAGCACTTGTACAACTTTGAGGGCGTCAAGGGCCGCATCATCAATTCAACACCCGTGAACAGGAATGTTTTGGTGTGTGCAGAGATGTCCATAAATGATTCGAAAGAGTTCTTAGTATTGTATACTTGCGGCCATCATATGCCCCTCAACCCACAAGAGGAATATTGCAACATTACTTTGGCTCAAAAAGAATGCAAACTAATCAATCTCGCACCCAGCACTAAAGCATGTATTGGGGTTTTCCAGCTTTAGTTTGTAAACAGTTTGTCAATTGACTTATCACAATGTTGTGCGTGAGACTGCCTCACTTCGTGGTGGATTGTGCACTATACCCTATATAAATACTTTTCTGATGGATAACGCATTAGAATGTCTGGTCATGTGTGCTACCTTTACACAGGGCGGTAGTCTTCCTGTTTATTGCGCTGCCGCAAATGGGCATCTGGAAATCGTCAAGTATCTACTAGATCTCCAACCCGAAACGATCTCTGTGATTGGCTATGTAAGTTAAGCAATCTCCATCATTGACTCTCCTTGCTGTAGTCAGTTACTCCTACAGCACTCTTCTTGCCAATCAAGACTACTGTGCTAGCTATATGTCAATTGCTGGGGAGTATCAGGCCGAAACAGCAACCCCACCGATTGATATACTCCAAAAGTACCTGTGAATATTGGTGACTTTCCTGGCCGGCACTGATAGCTGCACAAAGCACCTCCATTGTGCATTTGGTTCACATAAACATTGGTTATGATTAAGAAAGGAAAAGGACAAAATGTTACGAGTTATGGCAAACTATCCACCAACGTAACCAGATATTATACAGTCAGCGAATGCGACAAAATGGCACAAAACTGACAAGGAGTACTGAGGCATTCGGCGACCTGACACCTAGCTTTTCCATTCTTCATCATAACTATATTGGCTCACCACACCAGTTCAAATAAACATTGGTCTCAATCATTTCTGATGTGACCTCATGGACACACTCATCATCAATTCAACACCCATCAACAGGAGTGTTTCTGTGTGAGCAGAGATGTCCACACATGATTCAAAAGAGTTCTTAGTATTGTATACTTGCGCCCATCATATGCCCCTCAACCCACGAGAGGAATATTACAATATTACTTTGGCTCAAAAAGAATGCAAACTAATCAATCTCGTACCCAGCACTAAAGCATGTATTGGGGTTTTCCAGCACTAGTTTGTAAACCGTTTGTCAATTGACTTATCACAATGTTGTGCGTGAGACTGCCTCACTTTGTAGTGGATTGTGCATTATACCCAATATAAGTACTTTTCTGATAGATAACGTATAGAAATGTCTGGTTATGTGTGTTACCTGTACACAGAACGGTAACCTTCCTGTTCATGGCGCTGCCTTTAAAGGGCATCTGGAACTTGTCAAGTATCTACTAGATCTCCAACCCGATACAATCTCTGCAAAGAACAATGTAAGTTGAGCAATGTCTATCGTTGATACCCCTTAAGCATTTTTTCCAGAACACGGTTTGAGCAATATATGCAACAAATAACATCTAGTCACTCGCGCCAGGCCAGAGCAACAGACATTAACCTTACGGATTCCACCATCGGCCAGTAGAGCAGACCATGGCACACCAATCTCTCTTGGGTTCATACAAGGGCCCTCCCTACATACTAAAGTGATGTAAATATATTTCCTGGTGTATGTGTGTTTGTGTGTGTGTGTGGGGGGGGGGGGGGGGGGCGTGCATGCGTGCGTGCGTGAGTGCGTGTGTGCATACAGCAAGGAAAACCAACTGTCTTAGTCGTTCTATGCTGATGTACTTCGTGTTGTGCAGACCACGTGTGCATTGGTGGTCGATTCTCATAACTTCACAGGTTGTATTGACTACAGTCCATTCGGAAAAAGTTGAGCGCTGGCTCTGGAGAGCTCCCGTATTTGGCGATTTTGTGGTACACTGTGCAATGCCGCGATATTCGAAACTTGAAAAAGGGTCCAAAAAAGGTACCTCAACTGAGTTTCGAACCGGAAATGTACTGTTATGCAAGTGGAGTGAACGGCCTGCATTTTCATGGTTTTTCCCCAATTCAGTGCTTTGGGGGCAAAACCTGGCCGAAATCCTTTTCTTGTTATGGCTAACTCTTTGGAAAACTAGACTTCAAAAGCACAATTGGAAGAGAATTCCATGGGGGACTGCCTAAATAAATAAGACGGAAACTTAAAATTTGACCCATTTATGGCCAGAAGCTAGGATATCATTTATTTCTGAATTGACTGTAGGCAGATATCTGGCACTAGTCTTGATCTGTCTCATTCAGATCTTGTCCACTATCGTTGCTATCGTTTGCGTGCTTCTTTTGTGACGGGAGTACACATGGTACACGGTGTGTATGTGTTGGGGGAGGGGGAGGGGGAGGGGGAGGGGGTGTATGTGCATGTTTGTGTGTACATGTATATATTAGGGCTGAAACGATTATATCGGTTATCCGTATAATTGATCATAAAGCAGGATTCACAGAAGCATTTTGCGTTGTGACACACGATGCGACGGTTGCAAAACTGGGAAATCCCCAAATCGCAGCCAACTCGCAGCCCATTTAACTGCCGCAACTGGGCCATCGCAGAAGTTGAGCTCGGCTCAACTTTTGCGATGCGACAAACGATTTGGCGTACGATTTTGACCTTTTCTACAGCAAAGTTGTACAAAGATTCAAGAGTTGCCCGAAAATTTGTACAAGTTGTACCCAACCGCGTGAATACCATGGTGGCGTACCTGCCTGCATTGAACTTCGCGCCAAATCAGCAAGGTATCATCGCTTCGGGGACTTCGCCTGTGAATGGTATTTCGTGAGTTCGCATCGCACGTCTCCGTCGCAAATCGCGTCGCATCGCCAATCGCATAGCAAAAAAAGCTTCTTTGAATCCCCCTTACAACGAAGCGACTTCGATTATGCTGTCTATTTCGATAATGCGATTCCAAATAAATAAATACATAAAAGGAATAAAAAACGTGTACAAGAAGATGTCATGCACATGACTGTACTACGTAGTAGTAGGATCAGATAATGTTACGTACATAAGTCACCGGAGGATGTACCCAGTGTGCTGACGGTGCTCAACACCACGAAAACAGAGCGTTTGTTTGCCAGCTAGCTGGCCTCTGCGTACACCGCAGACACACCCACACACAACAGAAAGATACAGATCACAGTAGTAGTGTGGTATTTGTTCACTCACGATGATAGTTGTGTGTAGTAGTGTGGTTTTTGTTCACTGACGGTGGAAGATGGAAGAGCGTAGTGTATAGATGAGCATGAAGAAGGTTAAGGGCATGCCACCTCACGCATATACATGTACACGTATGTACCAGACCAACATGATGCAAGAAGTGAACCACTGTGGCGAATAGGGCCGCCGGATAATTTACCAGCCAGAAGCTGGCGGAAAAAACCTCAGGACCCCGGCGGAGGCACATCCCTGAGGAAAAACCGGTTAGAATAACCCCATAAGATAAACGAACCAAACGTAGCCTGCAGGACCTATCCCGAAGTGAGAATAAACGGGAGGGCGGGTGGTAAACTACAACGAAAAGAGAAAGACCACGATGAAGAGAAAAGTTTGAGAACACTGACAAAAAAAAACAGCTGACGCAATCCTGGTGCCGTAACTATGGTGAAAATGCTGGCAAAAAATACATTTTTCGTTTTATTCGCTACGCTCAGCCAACGAAAAATAACACTTTTTACCAGCTAGCTGGCCTCTGCGTACACCGCAGACACACCCACACTCGGTGTGAAACTTTGTCGAATGCTCCTGCTATGTCTATAGCCAGCACGCGGACTGCGCCACCACGGTTGGCTTCAGAGACCCAGGAGTGGTTGAGAGACGTGAGAAGGTCAGATGTGCTGAGCCCCTGCCGGAATCCGTACTGGTGGATGGACAGGGCCTTTTCATGCTCAAGATGATTGATTATGGCAGTGTTGACAATCTTCTCCATGACTTTGGAGACAACAGATAACAAGGACACAGGTCGGTAGTTCTTAGCAGCAGAATGAGATTGATTATTGTGTATCGGGACCACACGGGCTACTTTCCAGAGCGAGGGCTGGACATGGCACCGAAAACAGAGTGAGAACAGCTTGGAAATTGGTGCAGCCAAAACCTTTGAGCACAGCTTCAGAAATCTGGCAGGAATGCAATCGGGTCCGGTAGCCTTGGTTGGATCCAGCTGGCGGAGCTGGCGCTGGACTGTCGCTTCCCGAAATCGGACAGTTGTCAGGGCAGATGTACACCTAGGACGAAGGTCAGGAAGGTCGGAGTGCTGTAGATCTTGATCACACAGACTGCATTTGCTCGCAAAGAATTCTCCAAAGCAAGTAGCCTTTTCCTGGTTGGTGACATATTCTCTGCCCTGGGTATTGCGTAGGACAGGGATAGACGAGCTGCGGCCAGAGCCTGGAGCTTGCTTCAGGAGTGACCACCATTGCTTGTTTCGCATTGATCCATGTTTGAGCCGATCTCGGATGTGGGCAGATTCTGCCACACGCTTTCCACATTGGAGGCGAGCGACACGCATGAACGCCCAAACTTTAGCATGACACGTTGAGTGCCCACAACGCATGCCGCCCACGTTGAGCGTCGCGCATGAATGAATGTCGCGTTGAGTGACACGTTGTATGACACATAGAATGCCACGACGCATAGAGTACCATGTGAGCATGCACCAAGGCGTGTGACCAACATGGATACCGTGATGTACAGCGCACGTGACTGTAGCCAGCAGCAAAGCATGAGCATGCAGTAAAGCACCAGCAATCATAGCAGCATAGTTTGAGTGGTAGCACGAAGCAGCCGCGTGCACCCATTAATCTGCATTATTACTATAATGCTACATTAACTACAACACACAGCAGCTTGCGGTTAGGAGGGTGCTGGCCAGCGAAGTGAGAGGCTACAGAGAGAGCAGGATCTTGGCGGAGCCAAGAGGATAGTCACGTCCGAGGGACGAAGAACGAGAGCCCTGAGTAGCCGGAAATGAGCATGGCCCATTGTGGCCAGCAAGCCTCGTACCGAAGCAGCCGTGAGCAGGGTTAAAGTCATAGACACTGCCGGAGCAGGATCTTGGCGGAGCCAAGAGAGAGGTCAGAGAGAGGTCACTGCCGGAGCAGGATCTTGGTGGAGCCAAGACAGGGATCACTGCCGGAGCAGGATCTTGGTGGGGTAACCATCACCTACAGTGGGCTACGGTGGGCCGTAGATGCCGTAGAAATAACTGCACTCCCAGAGACGACAGAAGAATGCTGAAAGTTACCGTAGTTGTGTTTTCAGCTGCGCATAGAGGTTGCTCGCCGTTTTGCGCTGCGGGAAATCCTGCAGGTAGCTGACTTCTCATCCTCGGATTTGGTAAAATGATCCCAAACAACAGAACGGGGAGCACGACTGAAAACAGTTTCTGACAGGGGAACAGTGCGAACTCGAAACAAAAGAAAATTACGAAGTGGTCAAAGGAAGAGCGAGCAGCCAAAATATGTAAGTACATGTACGAGTACTCATGCTTTGTTCCGATGTTCGTCTACATGTCGTCGCCTCGACTCCAGCCAAGTGCCGGTTTAGATCGTGAACCGCGCGCGCGCGGGTCGTGTACCACCTGGCGCAGCGCTGGTCACAAGCACGCAGCTACACATAATAGGGAGGTTTAGTCCCACGTAATCCGTGGGTACTTTACGTGTGTGTACCACGTGATACTCAGTGACCCACGTACAGACGTTTTCTGATTCACGACATACCGTGTATGGAGGCTCACCCACGTTCCGCCAGAACGTGGGTGAAAATCAGAATGGAGCGCATTTTGCGAGCTGTGAGGGTGCTCAGCTGAAGAAATTTCCGAAGCACGAAATCAAAATATTCGATGAGCTTCTTAGGCCCGGGTAGCTTCGTCTTTGACCAGGTTTGGGCCTTTCGCTTCAGGCTTTTGTTTGTTCCATGTGACTAAACACACCATCGCAACGTGGATGCCCTTCATCCACTTTACGTGGATCACCCACGTACGCGTTTCCGTTACGTGGGAACTAAACCTCCCTATTCTACAGGCGGTGTGTGAAACGATCGTGACTGATCGCGATGTTTTTACGGGTTTATCGTACCGTACGCACATTCTCAAAGTTCGAATGTTCGTGAGAACTACGAATGTTCGTTTGCTGTGGCCTAACGAACGAATATTCGAATGTTCGGTATATTCGTTTCACCCCTACTGTTAGAGATGGGTAGCCGCAGCTCCCATCCATACAAGTGGGCAGTACTCCATTAGGGGCCGAATGAACCCCCGGCATGCTGTGGCCAGGCCGGGTGGGTCCAGGAAATGGCACGCCTTCCGGAAGAAACTAATTCGCTGTGTGGCACGCACTGCAGTTCCTCGAAGATGCTCCGAGTATGGAAGATGGGCATCAAACGTCACTCCAAGGAGTTTCA